AATGTGGAATGTGGATGTGTTTACATCTTGATCTTAATCTTACTTTGTATCTCGAATGATTTATTTGTTGTTGTTACATCGGATGATTTATATCTTGAATAATTTATTTCTGATTTTTATATTGCTGTCTTTATTGTAGATACCATGGGTCGTTTGAACATCGCAAGTTGAAATATCTACCTATTAAAAGACTTTTTTATAACCGCAAGAGCGAAAGTGCGTAAAATGGTACTTCCAGAATGGCAAAGGATTGAACCTTTTTATTTGACTGCATTCTGCGTAGACGTGAATTGTTCACGCGCGCATAAAATCCTCTGTGTTACGGTAACGTCATGAATATTCGTGCGTGAATAATATAAAAATATTATTCCGCAAAGATTTAATGTAACTCAGGCACCAACGCGATAATTCATGTAACTACCGTCCCTTCGAGTTCTATTATGTCGCCGTAGAATAATGTCCTCTTTTATCACGAACGTTCGTTGCACACTTTTGTCTTGCATCGCGGATGCTTCATTTTTACCTTGATTCTTCAAATTTTTCATGGGAATTTCGCTACAAACTTGATGATAAATCAAATCAATTAAAAAGATTCGGAGAAATTTATCATCAACAATTTTAGTAATTCCTATTCGATGCAAATATTCTTCACACATATTGTCTTCACAGTATTGAATTATCCACTGAACTATTCTAACATTTCGCGGATCCACATTTCACCTATCAAAATATTATTATCCAAGAAATTGTCGTCACCGACTACAAAAGACGTTTGCAAGTCTTCGAATTTCAATGAATAACAATCCCCCACGCATAATTTAATAGTGAAATTACCGTATCAGTCAAGATGACCGGTTCCCATTTCTGTTTCGCTGTTATTGAGATCGTAAAGGCACTGAATATTCGATATGATCTTGAAAAGAAATAGTTTCACTATATTTTGTGTTTGAAGGAACCGAGAACAATCTATTGTTACAGTTTGTATAGAAATCACATGTTAATTATATTAACACATTTCGTACCGCCTAATTGTCAGAAAACTATTATATTGTTATATAATATATTTTAAATAGAAAATCAATTCGAATGAAATTTAATATTTGTTTCAATGCTGTGATAATTAGCAAAGTTGCACAGCTAAGTGTCTTCATATAAAAACGGGATTTCTCGTTACCAGTGCGCAATGTATTAAATGCTTGGTAGTTCTAGTGTTAATTTCCCCCATACTTGCCTCTTTTCCTAATTGAAAATTCATTTCCATACGTTTCTGTCGCGGGCACACAAGCGCGCGAGCGCGCGCACGCCGTCGAAAAACGCGCGCGTCCGTCCTCCGTATTAAATTTTTATTGTGCCGCGGCATAACGAGTCTCTCCCTATCCGGAAAGTTACTTCGATACTATTTTTTGATACAAACCGGTCGCGAAGTTAATCAGAATTTTATGCACGCCGCCGGATAATTACAGCACTCAGCCTCGAAAGAGTTTTAGAACTAATTGCATCACGCGCATGACTGAATTATATACCGGCGGGAATATTTTATTATTAATTTCCGCGGGCCTCTAGTTAGCACAGTCCTTTGAATTAAGGACAATTAAAGCGTAAGCTTGCAATTTTATTTGTTCGTTCGTTACTCGCCCCCTTATCTTCCTTTTCTTTTTTCGTTTCCTCCGTAGCGGGGAGTAGAAGAAAATTTTATTTTAAATCTTCGATTGCAAAATTGAATAATTAACGAAAGAAATTAATCCGTTTGGAAGGTAATGCATTGCTAAGTGATTTTTTCACAAGTATCACGCGGTAGTCTTCGATTGCAAGCAACTCCGCTTCAAAATTGATCAAACAACACAAAACATGCACAATTTAAATAGTAACACGTTGTTGACAAAATTATTGTTCATTCTTTGCAATCCGAGCGATCTCTTGATTAATCCTTTTGGAATCTTAGCTTGATACGATTACAAATTTTTAATTTTACTCACTTCTACTAGTAATTAATACAGTGAGCTAGTTTTTCACTAACTAATTGATAACAGGAATTCATGATTAGGCCTTTTTGATTATATACTGTATTACACATCTCGTACGAAATTCGTCTCGAATGGGTTAAGCTGTGGAAAATGAATTTCTCGCGTCTCGAAGGAGACAGATTTCACGGGAGCTTAATGGAACCAGGAGCCGGCCGTTTTTCGGGGTAACGCGAGCCCGGGCGATCCTCAACAAAAACAACCTTTAATTATTCAACGATTTTCTTCGTTTAACCGGCCCCCTCATTAGCGGATTGCCGCGGCTAAAGGGCGGCGTCGTCTCTTATTAAAGTTACATCCCGTCCGGAGCTTTTGAAACTAATTCACTTTGATTCGCCGCACGCCATCCTGTTCATTGTATTAAATTCGAATTTCGCTGATGGCCCCCGCGCGACTCGCGAGTTCATCCCTCGGAATTTTCCGTGGCCGCGGCACGCCGTTCCGGGGCACATTTATTTCACGTCAGTTGTCGAAAATTTATAAACTGACACGTTAATCGATGAACAAAATCCTGCCCGCGTTATCCGCGTCGACTGTAAGGATTACTGTTCTCTCGAAACACAAAAATTGCAAGGTTCCCCGGGGATTTTTTTCCGAAATTCACATTCGATTCCGTCCTTTTAAAATTGTTCTGTTCGCGAAACATTTTTTCGTTTCTACGAATCCATTGTAAAACAATTTCTAGTTTTTTTAGGAGATATTTCTAAGGTGAGAATTTTAGTTGATACTTTTCGTTGCCGCGTTTCAGCTGTTTTAATGTTGTTGTTATGGCCAGCGAAAAATCGAGGGAGAAAAAGGTGCGATGATGCACGCGCAGTCATCAAAAACTGGGTCCTGATTCACGGCGGGATGGGCGCGAACGATTTTACCATAAAAATGGATACTGAAATAGCGTTCGGCAAAAGTCAATGCTTTCAAGAATCGATATCCGCTAATACAATTGTACACGCGCGACGAGCCAAACGAAATACGACAACGACAGGTTTGTCGGCAATTAGTAATGGCGTGCCGTTCGATCGCCGTATATTGTGTGCTCTGGCTGTCGCTTGAAAGCGATCGTCGCGTGACCAATTTCTCTTTTCATCGATTCTTCCCCGGCGACGCTGTTACTTGTTGTGTCTGTGACCGAAACGTGGTATTTACATTCCGGGAATGCTCATACGCGGACGGACTTTTCGAAATTGATGCGCCTGCGTTGGAAATCAAGGACTATAGTAATTTTCATTCACCTTGCTCCCTGGAAATATGATAGACAATTGAACATTGCTATAATTTGAATGTAAATTTAACAGTTAGGAGAACAATTAGCTTACGTTTCTAATGTGACTTCTTTCAGAAAATTGAAATATCAAATCTATTTCTAATGAATATTCCACGAGGAAATCTCTCTATTTTAACACTAGAACTACCAGATAGGTTAAAATGATATATTCCTAAATTTTTCTTTTATAATTATTGAACAAACAATAGATCCTTTTTTAAGAAATTTTTAAAGAAATTGTTTTAACAACACGCAAACCAAGCTTTGAGTGATCGAAATCTCGATATATGCACTCTTGGGGTTTCTATAGAAAAATTTTGATATAGTCAACTTGACTTGGTAATTCTAGTGTTAATCACTTATGTGAAACACTAGTGTTCTAGTGTTACTTTGTTATTAATAATTTACTGAAGGAAGATACAAATTTTGGATATATTACATGTCTACGTTTGCCCAAACTATAATAGTTGATAACAGAAGAATAATATTCAATCTGCATTCACAAAAATTGAGCAATATCTATTTCTCAAAGTCTGTTTAAAATCTTCACGTTATTGCAAGGCAAGTTAAGCTCGCCATTGGTTTTTCGTTAAGTTACAGGTAACATGTTTTTACTTGTACAAAATTTGTACAGTTTCTAAGTAAGAATAAATTAGCATAATAGTAGTACCTTGCCAATATACTTCCAATTAATATTCTTTTAAACAACAAAATGCGTGAATCATGAAATGCAACACGTTTTCTGTAATAAAAATAAAATACTTCCATCGTGCATAATTTTTCATAATTAAGTTGTACCGAAAAGGGGGTTACACTCGACGTATCTTTACGCGAGAATATCTTCCGAATAAAAGTAACAACTTGACAATCCATCTATCCGAATCGGCGTCGCATCTATCAGTAATTAAACAGAAATGTTCTTCTGTCTGAAATTCGTGAGTCATTGTTAAGTCATCTCATTTCGACCGGTTCCCCGTTTCCTGTTTATAATACAATTTTCGGCGCGCTGGTGGGGGCAGCGTATGCGAGCGCGCGCGCACTCACGGTTTGTCGATTTGTTTGCCGCGGCACAACAATTTCCCCGGTTTCATTATTGCGCGTATAATCGCGATCGTTCCACGTGTAATCGCAATTGTTGCACGTATGACCGATCGTCAATTGGTTCGTTGCTAACTGAAGCGTCAGGCCTTCGGGCGTGCGCGAAGCAATTACGCAATGCCCGAGCGATTGTAAGACATAAGCTGATCAAATGGTTGCATGCATCCTGATCGGTGTGCCGCTGGTAAAGCGAACGGTAACGAAATGAAGTCCTTTGGATCGAGTGTTAAACGAGGACCGCTATAGAGTGCACTGAATTTGTGATACTGTTTTAGACACTGATACTTCTCCCCGGCTGCTTATTGAGAAGCGTCAACGGCCGGTTCATCGTTTACATTACTTTCTTTTCTTGCCGGGAGAACGATATTACGTGAATTCTTGGTTTCCTTGATGGCACAAGAATGTGATACCTTTAATGTAATTCGTGGTAATTAACACTAAACCTACCAGACTGGTCAAAACGACCCATTCCTAATTTCTTCTTTTTGCAATTATTAAAAAGATAACGAATACTTCTCTGAGAAATAATTAAAGAAATTGATTTAACAATACGGAATGAATTTTAAATCAATTAAAGTCTCAATGGATTCACTCTTGGTGTTTCTATAGGGTGATCTCGGAAAGTCAATCAATCTAACTGTTCAGTAGTTTTAGTTTTAAGTGTTTGTGAAACAAAGATCGTTTTTAATATTTCGTCTTTGCGATTTTTGTATATATCTACGGTATTTATAACATTGAGAAAGTATTTTCAATATTTTGTAGAAGTTTCTTGGATTTATAATGTTAATTGAATACTACGTGATTCTTTAATTGGTTATTCTTTGTATTTAGTTCTTGTAAGTATGGGTGATAATGGTGAGTTTGATAGGGTTACAACAGAAATTATTTCGTTTATTTTGTTACCAATGTTAGCCTAACGAAATACAAATAGAATTATTCCACAAACTGCCGTGTCGGTACGATACAGTTTCCAGAATAGGTTAGCAAGTTGACCATCTTATATATTTATTTTTTCGATAGAACAGGAAACCCAAATGATAATTTTTATACTTAGAAAATCAAATAAGTGTTCGTTCTTTTTTCATGATTTTTTCACAGGTAGATTGTATGACATTCTCTTTGTTTTCATCACGCAAGCCTCGCATCAAATAACTTTAATCCTAAATTCGCGAAAGCTTAATCTGTAGTACGTATATTTTATCCATTTTACAACGATGTATTATATTCAGATGAGGGAGCACGTCCGGTCCAAACGTTGTAAGTTAATGTTAGCCAACAATGTTGTCACTGGAGGGGAAATATTTAATTTTAGCGTAGTGTCAGGAATGTTTTCTTTTACTTATGAAACAAGTAACGTCGTCTTAGAAGCACACAAATAGTCAAATGATTAGGACAAGCAGTATAGTCATCAGAGAACACTCTCTTCCATTAAGATTTCTATGAATCGTCAAGAAGCATTCATGTACAACAATCGGAACATTTATTATATACTACATCATTCCTCTTTCGCGCGAACAGCAACGTCAAACAACACATGGGTCCACTGAAATTTCTCTAAAACACGAACAAACTCACAGTTCTCACCAGCGATCGTTACGTTATTCACTCGACGCGATCAGTTTCCGAACGAGTCAGCTTAATAGCGAGTCAGATCGAATCTAATGCTGCATATTGACTTGAAAGTACTACCCTTTAAAACAACCCGGACAAATTACCTAGCAATATATATATATAATTGTCACAAGAAATAGATAAAATGCCACGTAACTTGGAGCTTACTCTCAAAAGTAGAGCTTGCCGTAGACCTAAGAATAATTCCCGAATCAACTAGTTCTTTACAATGATTACTGTTTTGCGAGTTAATTCTCAAGTGGACACGCAACATAAGAGTCACACTCGAATGCGCGTCTCACGTGAACGAGCATTTCAAGAGCCACTGTAGAGTCGCCCTCATGTAACTACATAACATAGAAGCTATTCTTGAGTCACACACATGTAAACGTCTAACATGAGAGCTACTTTATAGTTACTCTCAAGTAGACGCGTAGTATAAAAGCTATTCCCCAGTCGCTGTCAAGTGGAAACGAAGCACAAGAGACACTTTCGATGTTTCTCTCATATAGACACATTAGAAGAGTGATCTTCGATAGTGGCTCTTAAGTGGACACGCGGCATAAAACCTGTTTTCAACTGTGAAGTGTAAACGAAGCCCAAAATCAATTCCCAATTTCCTCTAGAATAGAAACAAAACATCCCGAACATTCCCAAAAATTCCTCTTATGCAACAGCACACCGTAAACACTTCTCTCGATAGTAGCTCTCAAGTGGACAAGCAGCATAAGACCTATCTAATTCACCATCAGATCAGAGAAAACAGAAGCTACTCTTCTATAAACTGAAAACTCAACGTATCAAGCATCTTCGAAAATGACTCCCATGTATCCCGACCACATCTCTCGACAGTATCTCCCAAGTGGACACGCAGCACAAGACATCAAACTCTCGAGTCTAAAAAAGGAAGCACAAAATCCACAGTTCTAACAACTCAAACAACTCAGGCGAACGTATAGTAAGCACTCCGGTAAGTCCCCGTATCACAAAGGTTCTCTCGATAGCATCTCTCTTGTGGACACACAGCCTAAGACGCGTCGCGCCAAGTCCTCAGCTCCGTCGAACGAAAACATTGTTCTTCCCGTGCTTGATCCTCGCCGGCCACGTTAATAATGACATTCCCGTCTGTTTACGATGCAGCCGATCCCCGGCAGCGCTTCGATCCCGGCGATCGATCGGAAACGGTTCTTTGATTCCGCTGCAGGTGCGCCCGTCAAGGTATAACGCCGGTCGGCGTTAGGTAGGTAACCGGTGCCACTTCCGCCCGTAAGGACTGACAACCTCGGGCGGTCTTTATTTTCACGCGGAACGGAGCGAGAAACCGGCGCCGAGGAGGTAAGGGAAACTCCGGCTTCTTCTCGTCCCGAATGCGATCTCATCAACGATTAAGAACCGTGCGGCGAGGGTGCAGCGCCGTTTCCCGCGTCAAGCCACCTCGAAGGGAGCCAAGATTGTAGACGGATGTTCTCCTCCCGCGCGCCCGCGTCGGCTCTTCTTTTACCAACGCCGCAATTGCCCGCGCCTTTCTCTCCTTTCCATTTCCATTCTTCCGTGCAGTGAAACATTTATTCCGGCCCTCTTCATCCATTCCTAGCTCCCCGAACGATCATCCTTCGACCGGTCTCGCGTGATTAATTCCCTTCCCCTCTTCCAGGCTTCTTGGCGCACCTACCCAGCCAGATCTACCGATCACGGATTTAAACGGCGATCGACGGGGAACTCGGTACTTTTATTATTAACCGGATCAGCGCGTTTTCTTCGGTTTACCCTAGATCCCCTGGTTAGACGCCTGCAATCTTGGTTCCGTTTCGGGGAGCTGGATTGTCCACGGTGTTTTCTGGAAGCTTATCAAGTGGATTCGCTCTGGTGGTAGGGATCCTCGGTGCTAGGTCATTTCCGTCTGGCGAAGATGTTCTCCAGCAGCTCCTTCGTGATCAGACGGTGCGGCCGGGTTGGACTCTCCGTTGGCCTGCCGTATAGTCGGCTGTTGATCGCGTACAGCTTCGGGCTCAGTTCGCACCGCACGTTGAACCACCAGTCGCAGACGAACACTGCCTGACTGAACTGCGTGCCGTTCGGGCAGAGGAACGTCGCCTGGCGGCCGTCTATGTCGCAGTAGTGCCACGCCTGACACCTAGTCTCCACGTCCGCGAAGAAACCGGGATACGGCTGCTCGTCGCAGTAGAAGTTCGTGTACGGCACCTTGCCCAGCACTGGGTAGTCTGTGCCTGGTCGACCTGCAAATTTTAGAGAGGATTTCTTGATTGCTGCTCTCGTAAGAAATGTTGTTGGATTTCGAACGGTTTTGAGGGTCTTCGAGGTAACGAGGGAATTTGGTAATTGATTGGGTGTTATACTGATTCTTTTGTTTCATGTTGAAGCTGCATTTAGAGACTTGTGACAATCAAATGATAAATTCTTCAAGGTTTTCGACTCAAGCTTCAGTGTTCAACACGTTGAATGCCACGGGGGTCACGGATGACCCTCAACCAAATCGAATTACTATAATTCGATGACTATTTGAAAATATTTTTATATTATAAACAATGTTACCCCGCGTGGTGATATTCAGCTGGATAATAAAATAATAATAACGCAACTCAAGCAAATGATGTAATATTATACTTTCTCCACTTCGTGTATTTTGCTGTATGAAACTGTGCGGCATTTAACGTGTTAATGTTGAGCGTAGGTAACCCGAAGCAACGAAAATGGCGCTCTAGTTCCGAGTAGATTAATCTTTAATTATATTACTCATCGGCGGAATGATAGAAATCTCTGATGTCCTAAGGGACGAATATTGAATTTATCGAATAGGGTGGATCGCTTCTATGTTGCCGAAGGAAAATTGAATCTATCGCTATTGAATGTATCAGCATCAAACGTGTCATCAACCGAGTAAATCTCGGGGAACCTCTTAATTTAATAATCCTGGAACTTGAAATGATTCACTTCGATTATTGTAATAACCGTGGTAATGACCAATCAGTCTATGAACACCTAGCTCCCCGTGATGTTTAAGCACGGGGGACACGGTTATAGAGTTGGCAGCCAGTGACGAACGTCGATACCTGGTGGGGCGCCTGCTTTGTACAGGTAATACAGGTGTCAGGCGAGTTGAGCACGCACGGTGCATCTCGCCCCTTAGCATTTCCACCGATTAATCGAGGATACATCAAACCAGAGCAGTCTGTGGACGGAGCTTTGCTCACGTTTCAGTCTATCCGCTCATGGAAATCATACAGCTAGAAGCGGATCGGTCCCTAGCCTAGGGATGATCATGAGGATACTCTCCTTGTCTTCGGCAACTATCACCGGAATCGTCCTGTATCCTGTTATGTCGTTTAATGAGATTTCAGCGCGAAACTCGGATCCTGAGCTCCCGCTCACCTGAATAATCACTAACCATCTCGCTCTGGAACTTGGAGTTCGACCGAGGAAAAGTTCCATCGAACCGTTCTCTTGGAGGCAGTCGATTTCCCCTGTCTACCGGTGTTCATTGGACTTCTTGTTTCATTAATTTTTCTCTGACTAAGCTGGCAATAGTTACTTTATTACGAATAATTCGTCGAGGAAACGAGGAAATGATATATTCGTTATAAGAGTAGATTTTTTGTAGGAATTAAACATTTGAGAAGCAAATAGAATTTTTACTCGATGAATGTGAATATTCGTGTCTTTTCAAGTCGTTCCGGAGAATTTTTGTTATTCTGGAAACTGAGAAACAGCAGAGATAGATGCCTTGATTAATTTTTCAGTGGAAACTATAAATATCGAAGTTGAATGTTCGTGTTTGTTGTAATAAATGGTTGATCTTTTCTCGAAGATCAAGGCATGGTTCTTGAAAGGTAAATTTCCTGTAATAAAAATTTGGACGAGAATTAAGAAACTTGTTCTCGAGTAAACGATGTTACTTATGCCCGAAGGAAAATCCTGCAGTTTGTTTGAAGAAAGTACAAACTGCTGTCGGACGCGACTATGTCGAGGACGTTCGCTTATTTTTGTCGAACACGCCGGATTGCCTTCGCAAAATTCTTTCGACAGACTCGAGGGCAGCCTTCGGAGTAAAGTTACTGGGTAATCGGCGTATAAACTGATCGATATATAGTGCAATTTGAACAAGGCTACACGTGGAAATTATCTTCATTATGTTGAAGTATCGTTTAACGACTTGAATCGGCATTGTTTCATTCGAAATACGGTAAAAACTTCCCATAAAAGCTTAATTTCATCTTTCCAAACTGTTCCTGGAGATACAATCATTTCCGACTGCATCATTAATTACAGAACCCATTGCATTCCTCAGTCTATCTGAAATAAACAACACAAACACAAAATCAACTTAAACCACAATAAAATCTCCATTTCTTGCCTTACAATGTTTTAAATATTACAGCAAGCACGTACTAATACCTTCAAATTAAAAATCTTCACAAACCCAACCTGATATTACAAGGAAATTAATAATCGAACTCTTCGAACGCACATTATCCTTTTCTTACTCGATAGAAATCAAAGTCCATGTCCAAGGAAGCTTCCCAAAAGGAAAGGGACTACTCCAAAAACAATGCAACCGGAAGTAACGCGTGCAAGTGAAAGAAGACGGTCGTCCAAGTTTCGGCCGATTTATACTTAACGATTGCGTTATCGCGTCTAAGTTGGTAATTATATGTCTCTCCCGCTTAGCAAAGGGTTAATCAGACGAAGGGGTTGCCGCGGAGAGGGGGGATGGTCCGAGAGGGGTCGTGGGTGGGGCGCAACGTGTTGGCGCCGCGGATTTACGACGGCTTGCCCGTAAATACGAGCGTAAAGAGTTCCCCGGCACGACTGGAAACTTTGTTCCGTCGTAAAAATGTTCCCGTATTTTGCAAGACTGCTCGTCATCCGCTTCGGTTGCGTGCGAAATTTCATTTCGAACCGTCCGACCGTGCTACGAAATTAGACGAACGACGGCATTCTCAACGAAGACATTCCTTCCTTGCACTTTTATAGGAACGCTGCGAGCCGAGCTCGGTCGCCTCTTCCAGCGAGGTTCTCCTTCGAACCATTTTGTCCTGTCTTTTTTTCCTTATTTATCTCCCCCGTCGTTTTTTCTTTCTTCGGTTCACTGCGATGTGTCTTTTCAAGATATTTGTTCCCGGTGCTGAGTACCGCACCAGAATTTTAACTTTATTCTTTGTACGGAGCGTTTCCGTGTGGATACTCTATCTGAGTAGACAGTTCCGTATGCTAGGATAAACGAACGAGAAAGATAGTGGAATATTTCCGTTTCGCGAGATGAATGATCGATTAATGATCGAGGTTAACACTAAAACTACCAAAGAGGTTAAAATAACCCTGATCGATCCTTTTTGCTATTATTACAAAGATAACAGGTGTTTCTGTGAGAAGTTATTAGAGAAATCGATGCGCAAAGTGAATTTCAAAGCAATTAGTCTCAATAGACGCACCGTTGAAGTTTCTATAGTAGAATTTGAAGAAGTTAATTCAACTGCTCGGTAGTTTTAGTGTTAATTAAGGAATTTAGCTCTCGTGTATTTGCCTTGATCTAGACAAAACAATGTTACGATAGTACAGGTTATCTACACTGATCTTTCGATCATTACGTGCTAACTTTCATATTGAATTTCGAAAAGAATCTATATTCTCGCGGGAACCTACCTTTATTAACAATACACGATACTCTCGGTCGATTGTCGAGCACGATTACAAACTCACTAACAACCGGATTTATCAAGCTCCCATTGTTCGCGAGAAAGAAACAAATAGCTCCAGCATTCTCGAGTTCCCGGTCTGATATAAACAAGCCCCGCGCGTATGCGAAAGTCAAAGCGTATTCTCCAACTTCTTCCCCCTGTCTTCGGCTTTGTCTGCCCTGCTCCCACTCTCTCCCACCCGGAGCAAATTCCTCCTAACGAGTCCCAGCAATAATAGATACCTTTACTTCTTTGAACGGCCCGCTGCCGCTCGTCTCCTATCGTCGCGGACAATTATGAACTCGAATGCAAATACGTGAGCTGTTTCCTTCTTCTTCGTCTTCTTCTTCATCTTCTTCGTTCTTTCCTTTCTTTCCTCGCGTTCCTTTTCTTCCGTCTTTTTTACCCTTTCATTTGATACACGCGAAGGGAAAGCTCCTTGCCGCAACTTCTTAGCCGTCGACGCACACACACGCGCGAATCCCGGGTGTAATGCGTCTACCAATAATGTCCCCCGTTCACCCGAGCCATCCATTAACGAATATACGCCGAAGGATTTCATCGACTCGCGACTTCCTTATTATAATGGAACGCCAATCGTTCGAGCGCATCGACGAGCTCGCCGACTCCTTTCGTTTCTAATGGTTTCTTTAACCCTTGAAAGACCGGTATCCAATGGACCCGTTTCGACGTTTACGTCTGCTCAATGGTCTTTTAATGGTCATGACGATTGTCGTGCACTGCTATGTATCGAATATTGAGAAGGCAATATTAAAAAATGATGTTATGAATCGAATCTGATGAATGTGTCTGGTGAGTTTAGACATTTTGATATCTCGTATAGCTTCGGTTTTTAAAAATATTTTTAGGAACACATGGCCACGGGTGATAATATGCGTCATAAAGCAGCGAGAACATAAAAGAATATCAAAATATATGAAAATGAAAGACTTGAATATAAGTTAATATTTTATGTAAATTCAATACAATTCATCAGCAAAATATAATCGAAATTTCCGTGGCACGGAACGAGTTAATCGAAGTGTCTCGATAGCAAATGATTCACTTATCAGCAGATGAAGTGTTGATCAAAGTTATATCGTTCTCGACTATTAACCTTAATCTCCGTCGATTCTTCAAGACGCTTCAAGCAACACAGTATACTAATATTTTTAACCCTTCGCACACCGAGCAATTTTTAATATCACCTTTCAGCTCCGATTCATTTTTGCTACGAGCAGTCATCTCCTCCAAGAGTATCTACAATGGTGCTTTGTCATTAGAAAATGCGCGTATATGTTTCCAAGTTATCTTATCAAGAACGAAGTCACCAACTTATCTTGCAAAGAGTTAAGTATATATTCACACCCACTGAAAACCAACAAAATCACAAAGGCTCCCTCCGCGAAACTTCCGAAATCCCCGTCACGCCAGTTCCCAAAAAAAAATAATAAAATCCAAAGATGCACGAAATTCACCGAGCAACTATCCCGATCGCGGTGTCCGCCACGCGAGCTCCCCGACGGCAAAGCTCCTTACGG